ACTTCTAAAAACTAGATTGTAACCTTGTTAGTGTAATAGTTCACAACTTTTATAATTATATACTAAACATGTTTTGACTAAATTTATTAATTTCCTCATCCATATATTCTTTCTACAATTATTGAGTGAGTACTGTGCGTTAGACACTGTGTGACGCGCTGGAAATAAGACCATGAGAAAGATAAGGTTACAGACTTCCAGGAGTTTACATTCTATTTAAAAACACCTATTAATCAAATAAATGTAATATCACAACATGAACAGCTTCTATAAGGCCAGGTATTTTGTAAGGATATATATATATATATATATATATATATATATATATATATATAACAATAGTGTGATTTGACCCTGTCAAAGAGGTCAGTGTAATCTTTCCCATGAAAGTGATGATCAAACTGAAATATGAAGGATGCATAATGACTAAATGTGCCAGTAGAGAGCATGGAACTCACATGAAAGAAGAAAATGTCTATTGTAGTTTATACAGACAGCAAGACAAAACATGATTAGAAATTAAATTGGAGATGTTGGTAGAAGCCAAAATATGCTGGCCCTTTTGATTCCATGTTATGGAATTGAGTTTGTATTCTAAATGTGACTGGTAGCTATTAAAAGATTACACAAGATAACATGACCAGACTGCTTTACCAAAAGTGCTTGTAGATGCAGAATGGAAAAAGCTTATAAGAGAGATGTCTGGTTTTTCATTTCTTTTTTCTGTGCAACAAATCACCAAATAATTTAACAGCTTAAAACAATCATCATTTATTTAGCTCACTATTCTGTGGGTCAGCAATTTACACTGAACTAAGCTGCACTTGTTTATGCATGTGTAGTCATAAGGCAGTCAGCTAGATGACTCTACTAGAGCTTAGTTGTCTGTTGGGTGGTGCTGCATGGGTGATTGGGTCACATATCATTCATCATTGAATAGGTTAGCTAAGGCCTCATCACATAGTGTCAAAGGCAGGGAGTCTCAAGAAAATAAAGAGAATACAAGTCTTACTAAACAGGTATTTTTCAAGTCTCTCTTTGTGTGGCATTTGGTAACATCCCAGTAACAAAATCAAATTACGTGTCAAAACCCAGAGTTAGCATGGGAGAGAACAAAAAATTACATAGCAAGGGGGTATGAATAAAATTGTTGCCATGTTTCTCATCTACCACAGTAGAATATAGTGAACATGGGTTACGAATTGATTGCTAAAGTTGAATAAATGGCTTGTATTGGAGAGTGATCATTAATTTTTCTACTAGAGATATTTAGAAGAAAATGTAGACAGAACATAATGATGGATGGAATATAGGGAGTGAGAGTGAATGATTATTAAAAAGAAAGTCTACATTTATTTTTTGTACAACCAGAGACATGACTATACCACTCAATGAGATGAAAGGATCTATAGAATACCATGTTTGTGGTTGTAGATGCATGTTGAAAAGAGGTGGCTTTGAAATTTCCAAGATCACCTATTAAACATGCTTTTGAGGCTTATTAAATATGTGTTTGGAGCTCTTATTAAAGATAATAATTTTGATTAAATGTTGCAATCCATCAGTAGACAGAGCATAATAAAGCTTTGTATGTGCTTGGCATCACACAAATTGATAAAATAGAAAACAAGAGTGTCTAGAATTCCATCTTGAAGAGATGAAAGACAATTAGGAAATGAATGCAAAACAAAGATGAAGAAGTCATCAAGAAAATAGGAAATGCAGGCAACTGCTGTGTCTTGGGAGCATCCTGAATAGAATATTCCAGAAAGATAAGTAATTAACATCTTGAAAAGTGCTAAAGAGATCAAATGAATAAAATATGAAAATTTCCTATGATGTTTAAGTCTTGTAATTTCCTGGTGATTTTAGCACAAGCTGCTTTTGGTCAATTTATGGGCCAGAAGTTAGACTAGAAAAGATTAAAAAATAGAGAGGTGAAGAAACAAACACAGTCACTTCAAGAAAATTTGGTATATGTATATATACACACACATAATACACACAGTGTGGACTTCTATGGTTTTATAAGAACCAACATAATGAAGAGAGGATTTGAGGCATGATAAGCATGGAGAGTATGTGACGAAGGAAGGAACTTAAAATAATATAGCATGTTAATGAGCATTTAACATTTATAACGGATTTTCCTAGATACAATTTAATTTCTTATACTCCACAAACCAGTAAGGAGTTGGACATGTAGTATCCACCTTTATTTACAGATAAAAAAGCAGACTAACTTTTTTTGCAGAATATTACAAAGTGGATACATATCGAACATGACCACAATTCTTCTGCCTAAAAATCCTGATTTCTTTCAATTATATAATATATTCTCCTATGGAAAGGTGGCAGATACAAATAATGCGTATTCCACAGAGGTATTCTCATAAGAAAATAGAAGCAAAAAATGATAGCACCACAAATGGCTACTTGTCTACTGGGACTAGAAGGATAAAAGTAAACAGCAAGTGCTCTGGAGCCACAATGTCTGCATTCAAATCATGATTCTGCCACCTACTAGCTATGTGATCTTGGGGAGGATACTGAACTTCTCTCTGTGTCTGAGTTTCCTCATTTGTGTGATAGGGATAGTAATTGTGTTCTTGTGATAATCAAGTAAGTTAGTGAAATTAATTGTTATCATGATATGCTTTTTTTCCCCCGACAGGAAATTTTTATCCAAAGTACTAGAGAAAAACATTAAAAAATCAAATTATTTCACTAAAGAAAAGCAAAATTCATTTATGGTTTGTGATTTTCAAGAGTTGCAATGAGGTATAATTTTGATTAATTTGTTGACTATATAGAGATATTGGTAAATTAGAGAATCCAAAATTGACTCTAAAAGTGAGAAAATGGACACTTTATCTTCAAAGTTCATAGAGAATAAATAGAAATAAAAGTTGGATAAATGTGTTTAAGGCATTAAAAAAAAAAGACAATAGGATAAGTTGACTTAAGTTATTCCCAAGGTTTTAGAACCAGACAAACAAAACATGAGGAGAGATTTGGAAATGTAGTGATAAAGTCCCCTTCCCAAATTGCACGTAAGATGAACTAGGTAGTAAAACCTATTATGAAGTTTAAGGCATAAATACTAAAAATACATGAACAACACATGTGACCATCTGACACCCTACAAAATATTTACAACATTATTAATTATATTCCTGAACTGTCTTTCATATCCCTGTGGCAATATTGTAGTTACGTATTTATGCTGTCTAACCCCTTCCCCTTCTCCCTCATCCCCACCCCCCTCCCAACCAGCAACTATCAGTTTTTCCTCTATACCTCTGAGACTGTTTCTATTTACTTTGCTCATTCATTCGGCTTTTTAGGTTCCACATATAAGTGAGATCATATTGTATTTGTCTTTCTCTGACTGACTTATTTCACTTAACATAATGGTCACACGTCTTGTTAGGGAGACCATTTCATGGATGGGGTAGAGGCTTGATCACTGCACTGTACACCTGAAGCTGATGTTGTATAATATTGTATGTCAACTATACGTGAATATATATATATATATATATATATATATATATATATATATATATTGTCAGGGGATGTGGAGTATAGTATGGGAGTGGAGTCAAGGGAATTGTAATAGATAGGTATGATATTGGGGGGGGAGTGGGGCGGCAGATTGGGGGAGGGGGTTGCCACTTTGAGAGGTAAAAAGTATAACTATTGTACTGTGTTGTACAGCTGAAAGTAATTTAAAAATGTTTATTTCACAATAAAGTAAAAAAAATACATGAACAAATTTATTAAGATAAATGTAAATCAATGCCTAATTTTCATTTAAATATAAACAGATTGACCTTAGTTTTCTGAGATGACTTCAACCCATCTCAATGATTTTATGCAGTACTGAACATATTCTGAAATGTATATCTTCTAATCCCAAATCAGTTCGATTGTTAATCTAACATTAGAAAAAACCATTAGTATGATTTGATATTGTTACAATAAGTCAGCATAAAAGTTCATTCAGAATGCTGGATTTAAAGGAATATTTTTTAAATAAAAATGGGTAATTAAAGAAAACAAACGTCATGAAAGCACTCTATAAAATATTTCTATACTATATATACAATCATATGCCCTATGTTACATAGCACTTCACGTTTTATAATTGCAGATGCCTCATCTCATTTGGACCAATAATTATGGTTTAAGGGATTCGATTATCATTTTCAGATGAGGAAATGCAAGTTCCGCCAGGTTATGTTCTGCTTACATCTACACAGATAGGAGAGTCAGAGTTTCAACAGGACAGACCTGAGTGTGATTCCTTCCCATGTTCCTTCTCACAGAATTGTATGGTTATATTTTGGTCTGTTTATGTATTTTGTTTGTTTTTTTTTCTACTAATGTAGCCTGCTAGGCACTAGTTTATGGTGGTAGACTGTCCTAGGAAGCAGGCCTGGCTTCTCTGTCCCGCCTCTGCCACATGCCAACAAGGTGACATCGGAAGGGAGCCTTACTTCACTCACATGTTAAAACAAACAAAACAAAACAACAACAACAAAAAAACACTGTTGGCTAAAGTACTGATATTTGCTAGTATGTTGATAATTTACAGTAGTGAAATAGCAAAATATCTAAGGGATAATCTTGCTTTAGCTATTAACTCTTTCTGCTCAGGCTTAAATGATGTGGAATAGTTCATGGCAAGGTATCTTCTGTCAAATTACAAAGATAAAAAACTTAAATTCCCCTTACAATACTTTGTTAGAGATATTATTGCTTTTATTATCCTGACAATGAAAAGTGCATTCATTCACAGACCATTTCAAAGGCCCAGAGAAATAGGTATAATCAGTGGCAACCACTGTAGAACTCCTGGCCCCCTGAGCAGCACATAATCAGCTTGGGCCCAACAAGGAGAATCAGAACCCAGAAGTCTGAAATGGGATTTTTTTTTTCTCAGAGGTATGCCTGATGGGATGAAAAGGCCATCTCTAAGACATCTCTAACTTTCTGTCACAGCTATTGTTTTCATAAGTGAACTAAGGTCAGGCTTTCTACATCATCTGCACTGATCTCTAACTAGCCAGATTTCTGATGTGCAAAAAGAACCTTGCTCACTAGAACCTGACATGGAGGAAGGAGAAAAGGAGGTGAAAGAAAATCAAAAGGCTGCATTAGCCATTTATGAAGCAAAAAGGGCCAGAATTAACCTTAGATGCTATAGTTTATGGAGTCTGGAGAGTAGGAATTGTTCTTTGATTGCAGGCATCTCTTCTTTCTATAAGAAACAAAATGAAATAATTTAGGAAAAACTTCCCTTCTCCGCTTGTTTTCCCAATGTAGAAAGTTAAACAAATGACCTGTTTGAGCCTACCCAATACTCTAAAAGAATTTTCTCTCTAAACTTTTCTGTTTTCTGTCTTTTTATCTCTCCCTTTCCTTTTCCCTTTATCTCTCCATAAACCTTAACTCAGTTTATTTAAAGATAGCAAAGTGCTTTGAATTTCTCAGAAGAGATATGCCATGTAAATGGGAACAATAGCAAAAAAGTGTGTTTCTCCCTGGGAGCCCCGGTTGTAATATAAGGCAGCAGGTTTTTATAATGATCTATGAAAGACTCTCTTAAACAACATTAAGCATTTAATGGAAAGCCACAAGAGCTTGGGGACAGGCAAGATTTCAGCTGATTGTCTATATTTAATGCATTACACCCTTATAATAAAGGAGGGAAGTAAAAAGAGGGGGGAAAAATCCAGAAAACAAGCCTTACTGTTGTGTTTAATTTAGATTTTTCATTTTCTAAAGATAAAGGCACATTGGCAGTTCTTCCTCTACTTCATTTTTTTTAGAAGAAAGCTACATCATCTGATTGGGAACAGACATTTAACACATACCCCAAACTAGGATAAATTCTCAGAGTTTGGATGGATGTATTCCCAAGTATCATGAAATCAGCTTTGGTAACTGATAAACTGGTGACTATAGCTACCCCAAATTACTCCCTATTGAGTTTAGGGATTAAGGGAAATTAATTGTTCTGGGGCCAAGTTTTAAAATTTACCTATAAGAGGGAAAATTCTTTCTTTTTTGTTAAAACACAGAAGCAATAAGAAGGCTGGTATATAACAATATTTAATTCATATTGTTATGAGGGTGTCACTGATATTGCCCGAGGGATATTTGAGAAGGTCTGGAGACATATTTAAGTGCCACAATTAGAGTGGCGCTGCTCACATTTAGTGCTTCTTGCACCATGGGCGGTGTTGCTCATACAGAAATGCAAAGGACTGCCCCCCACAACATAATAATTATCAATCCCAAATTTCAATAGTACCGAGATTAAGAACCTGTGGCTAAGAGAGTCTACAGACAAATCCAGTTAGCTAAAGGCTCCATAATTTGTCAGACTCTTTTAAATAACAAGATTACCAGATTAATATAAGAATACAAATGTGATTATAACATAAGGTCCTAACACTTTCACCATGATGTCGCCTGGCACTCCTGAAGAGTGAATATTGGGAGCCTGGATATCATAGTTAGAAAAAAGAGTCAATTATAGGTGTTTAACTAAGTTAGAATATCAGAGCCCAATGGAAACTTAGAAGTCATCTAATATAACCTCTATATTCTGCAGATAAGGCGAAATAGAGTTTTAAAATTAAATATGTAATATCACTGAATTAATACGTAGTAGAGCTAGTTTAAAATCAGGCATCCTATTGTCAACTCTCTTCAGTAGCTCAAGAATTACATCATATCCTTTTCTAGAGAGATGTGCCAAACTATTCTTAAATTAAAGGATACTAAAACATATAGAGTACTAAAAGAATACTAAAGAGAAATGTAGAACATTACCATTGGACAAACTTTAACTGTGTGACTTTGGAAAAGGTACTTAACATTTTGAACAATAATATTCTCATCTAAAAATGAGTATGAGGATATTCTGTTGAGAGAATAAAAAAGAAAACACAGCAACACAGGTTGTCATATAAGGTTCAGACTATAGGTGACAACATTATTCACTTGGGTCCCCTATGCATTTTAGAATATGTGACTTCAACATTGTCTGAATGGCACAACTGCCATTATGAATCACAAAAGGCTCATCTACACACATACTCTACGTTTAAATACCAGTTTTTACATCTGGTGAATGTGACTACAGGCATGTTGAGTAACCTCTGACTTATCAATAAAAACATAATCAAGTGTCTAATACTGAAATGAGCATTGACTATTATACAGACTAAATTAGAGCCATAAACACTGCATACTGGGATAGTAATCAAATAGGATTTAGGAATTATAAATAATCTGCAAGAGGGGATTAAGCAAATATAGTGATAATTCTGAAAGCAATAAATTACTCGTAGAATAGGAAATGGACCAAAGTTAGCAGACAAAGGATTTGTGGAAAAATGTAAATAAAAATTACAGAAACCCCACACATGTACATATCAAGTACTTATAAAAGGCCAGATCAAGTTTTCAGAAAATGTTTATCTTCAGACAGAAAATTCTGATTCTATAATTTGTCCTTCTCAAACTATCGTGAACAGTTCAATGAGGCAGTAGAGAGGTGCCATTTCCATCTGCCAGTAACCGAGACACAGATTAATTCACAGTATGTGTAGTAACTCCTTCAGTGATCAGAGAAAAGGTATGCTCATCAGAGATCAAACACATCCATGAAACAACAATAGTATTTACCACAAATTATTTAGGAAAATGTGCATGTATACATATATACATATACATATACATATACATATACATATACATACATACCACTATTTCAAAGACAACAAACTATGTGAGTATAGTAGCAAAATCACAATAACTATACATATAACAATGTTCCATGTGTTTGGAATATCATGATAAAATATTAATTTTGTGTTTATAAAGATCTACATATATTCACATTTATGAAAGAGAATACCTTTTAGGAGCATTTTAAAGAAAAGATCAAAAGTTACTAGATTTGTCGGCAGCAGCAAAAAGCTGCTCACCTAGGAAGAAAATCCTTATCCTTCTCATTGTTTCTCATCTAAAAAAATGAAAATGTTCAAAAAGTTACATTATTTGGCAGGACACAGAACAAAGATTAAAATGTACTAATGATCAATTGATACAAGGTATAAGGAATAAGATGATAGTTGAACACACAAACACACACACACACACACATCTTTTTGTACTTTAGTTGTGTATACGTCAATGTTTGATATCACATAAACTCACAGAGAATATAAAAATAATCCAAGAAGGCTAATGATTCCAATAGTACCTTTTGCTTAATTCATCACTGTGAATCTACCATTACCTAAACACTATGCTGTGATCGTTGTTTACAAGTTGTGATTTAAACATGAGTTTGTTAAATATTATGCACATGTAAAATGATTTGTGTCACAATAAAAGTTTCAAGTTTGAAAAAGATAAGAATTGGTTAGGGAAACTTACTTATTTTAGTAATATAAAATAGAACTTTTATGTAGTTCCTAATGTTAGGAAGATAAAATCATTTAGTGCTTAATATTTCAGGCATTGTGTTAAGCTATTTACTTGATAAAATAGCTTAAATAGTCCTTTTTGAGGATAATAGTATTATCATCTCTTGCTTTCAGAAGGCATAATTGAAGCCCAGAGAGGCTGAGTAAATTTTCTAAGATCACAAGGTTTGTAAGAAGTGGAAATCAGGTCCAGATTATATTGTCTCAAAAGCTGGACCATATTTCTTTTTACAAATCTTATGAGGAAATCTCTATAGCATTTTCTGTCAAAACTCTGACCTGGAGGAGATGGAAGTCAGACTAAAACTGATTCGCTGTTATCATTGAATATTTTCAGTCTCTATTCATACAGAAATTACTATTCTGGAGAAATCATAATTTAGTGATTCCGATGTGAAGTGGAAAAGACAGCCTTTGTTAGACATACAAAAGTTAACCAGGAGGTTATCAGAATGTGAGTTGAAAAATGTGAAATAAAACCACATTTATTATCTTACCTCAAAAAATTGTGATTTCAGAAAATAAGAGATTAATATATTTTTTCATCTTTCCAAATCATTAAGCCACCTTTCATCTGCATTAGTCAATCTTGAGTGGGTTTTGTATTCCCCATCTTAAATGCTAATCTCTGGTATGTAATTTTGTCAAGCAAATTGTAAAACTAAAAAGAAGATACAGAGTGTTTTCATTCAAGTCAATGAACCCCTGTCTTAATAAAATTTCAACATTGCTGTGAGTTTATGCACTACTATACTCACCTAATTCTAGGAAATAGTTGACACAAATTGGGAACTTGTCAGACTCAAAATTTATGACACTTTTAACCTGGATTTTCCTTCAGTCAAATTATAACAGCTGTGAAAATATACCCTTATTCTTAAAGGGCAACTATTTGGGAAATATGGGCTATGATATCATGATTTCTACATAGACACAGCTGCAATTTCTGCCATTTATCAAAGCTCTATCTTCATTATAATAGCATTAATCAGTGACTAGGGATTGGACTACTGAGTTAGAAGTAAAAGCAACATTGTGGCATTCAACTGCTGGAATTTTATGGTATTATCCAGAAAACAGTTTAAAGCAATCTCTAAGTGAACACTTCTCTAATTCTCTCTATAAGAGAGAGAGAGAGGAAGAGAGAGAAAGAGAGACAGAGAGAGAGAGATAGAGAGAGAGATAAGCATCATTTTTAATAAACTTAAAGCAACCTTAATTTATACCTCCAGGGCTAAGTACTAGGTAAATTATATTGTAGTCATACTATAGAATCCTTTGTAAGAGTTAAACAAAATGAAGAAAAAAAATATGCACTAATATAGAAAAACTCTAAAGCATATAATTTACATATAAAAACTTATAGGAATACAAATATGTATATATGTATATAATAATCATATACATAAAATATTAATTCTCTCAGATATATGTCTATTGTATACATATAAACATAAAATGAAAAAAATTCTCTAAGGTGATTTACTTAAGTAAAATCTGTGGGACATGGACTGACAAAATTTGTCTTTATTATTATTGTTTGATTATTTATAAGAATGCATCCATTGAATTTGCATATCTAAAAAATAAGTAAAATAGTGAATTAAAAACATAGTCCTTTCATAAAGTGAACTTAAAGAGTTCTCAACTAGGAAGACTAAGGAGTTTGTAATAAATGTCCAGGTATTCACTGATAACATTAGTTGAAATATTTTTAGACATGTTGAGTTAAAATCTTACATGTGTTCTTTAATGAAGAATGTCTAAAAACTGATATTACAACCTATTGTGGAACAACTTTTGGTCCTTATAAAGCTTATACAAAAATGGGAATTATAAATGAGTACTGGTTGCAAAGTTCAATATAATCTATAAAATAGGCTGTATCAAAAAAATCTATCCATTATTTCCCGATTTCATTGATTTTTAAAAATTTGCCATCCCACCCACAGTGTGCATTGTAGTATTTTACTGACACAAGTGATTGGAATGGGGTGAAGCTCTGAACATAGATGTATGAATCCACAAAATGGGCCATGCCAATCAAGTTTTTTTGTGGCAAAATTTAAGGCCATGCTGAATTATATGAAAAAGTGTCATTAGCACAAAGGTCTATCAAATTCTTCTACAAATATACCTATAATTGACATATATTGCAAGCTTTTCCCCCTTCAAATTTCTTTTGATTTTGAGAGATCCACATTCTTCTAAGAAAGAAATCTCTGTTCCCCTCTTTAAGCTAAATTGTTTCTTGCATCAAAATTTCTGTAAATTTAAATTACCATAAATTAGATTTACCCCAAATTAGAATCAAGGAAAATATTTTGAGGGTGTAAAATAAACGTAGTGATATTTGAACTGAGGAATCTAACAAATGGCACTCAAAATGAAAACTGTCTGTTAGCTCATTTTTTACTTCAATACACTACAGGAATAGACACTTAATTGTAGTTACAACAATTTAAAGGAATGCGATTGAGAAGACTACATTTTTTTTGGTGGAAGATTATTATCTTAGAATTCTTAATTTCCATTTCATTCATTTCATTTTTATCAATATGCGCAAGTCATGAGATGGATTTTGTTTCTATTTAATCATTGCTTATATCAGAATTAGTTCAGAAGATTTTTAAAATATTTTTTTCTTCAACTTGTTTCTTTGTTCAGCATATTGCTCTTGTAGCCCCTGCCTGATATAAAATAGTTTGCATGGCTGCATACTGTGATTCTGTGTCCCAAATATAAAATACCAAATGACAAAAATTAAGAAAAGGAAGTCTTTTTTGTTTAGTGAGCAGCATTCACATAGCCTCTGAATTAATGTTAGCTTTGAAGCTGCATGATGAGCAATAGAGAGTTCTCACCATGATGCTCATTAGCATCTCTTTGTGACTGTAAGAAATAATTTGCACAGTACCAAGTTTAATGATAATCCAAAGCTTCCTTGTTCAGCAATAGCTCTATAACCACAATCAACTCATTTGCTTTTCTTTTGATTGACAAGCAGGGTACAAAGGGGATGCCCATTTTCTTCTTTTCTTCTGTTCCTTCTTGCTAGACAATTAAGTATAAATAGATTGTAGTAACTTGATTTGTTCTTTTCCTGGCACTTGACAATATTTTTTTAGATTGGCTTTATAAACCAGACCTGACTGGTTCTGAAATATGAGGATGAGATTGTCTCACAATAGAGGCATAAAACAGCAAACTTTGTCAAGCTGGTGCATATAATTATAGGACGTCTCCCAAGATCACCTACATCTGTTTTCATCTTTCCTCCCATTTTTATCTTTTCTTCTTGGGTAAAACAATATAGACCTCTGTGTTTCCAATTTTCCTCTCCATACCTACCCTGAATTAATGAGTTTATTACTTGCATCTCATATGATTGTGTACATGGAAACGAGACAATAAAAAATATCTTCAGATAAAATGGGAGAATATGGTACTTGGTAGATAGCAACATTAATATGCAAAAAACACTAATATTTAAAAAGTAAACCATACATAGTTATACAATATGCAAAAAAATACAGTAGCAACAGCAATGATTATGATAACCTAACAAGGAAAGTACAGAGGCCAGTTTATATTTCAAGATAGTACAGTAGGCTTAGGGTGGTCATACATGGTAAGTTGGTGCGGGAGATTCTCAGTTTATGCCTCTTGTCACAACATCCACATTTTAAAATTTAAAACCATATTTATTAACACTACTCAGCATTAAAATAGGGTGGAATAAGTTTGGAAGACCTTGTCTTCTACTCCAGACATTTGACAAGGTTAGAAATACATGCAGCACATGTATAGTGAGCAGTGTTTTCACTTTAATATGGTGTGAAACCCGAAAGAAGATCTGGGCTAATTCATCTCCTGTTTCTAACAATCCACACCTTCCAGTCCTGGGTGGTGTTGGGAGAATAATTTGACACCACTGCCTCTTCCAGACTCTGGTATAAGTGACGATTGTGCTGTGGCATTGTAAGAGATACTTGAAGCCACTAGTCAGTTGCAAGTTAAGGGATTCAAGAGCAACAGAGAGAGTTTATAGGTCAGGGGTTTTAGATATATGTGTGGGAACAAAGAATCTCAAAATTCCTGTCGAGGAAATTTTAAGAAGGAACAAAGTATTGATACCGGCTACGCCAAGGTTGAACCTTAAAACAGTGTTAGCAAAAGAAGCCAAAAGCCAGACACAAACATTGTAGGATTCTATTTATATAAAATGTTCAGAAAAGGCAAACCTATAGAGAGAAAGAGTAGATTAGAAGTTTCCCACACCTAGGGTGGGAACAGTGTGGCTGCAGTTAGGCATGAGTTTTGTTTGTAGAATGATGGAAATGTGCCCAAATTAGATTGCAGTGATGATTGTACAACTCTATAAATTTATTAAAACTCATTAAAACATGAAAAAAACTTATTGAAACATTTAAAATAAGTACACCGAATGTTGTGTAAAATATAACTCAATAAACCTGTTTTAAAATAATCTAAATTTCCTGCTCTAACAGTTTTTTCATTTATTGTGTGTGATAATTGTACAATTATTTGTTTATTTTACTACCTAGTAACTGTATTTTATTTTTTAATAATTGCTTAAATCAGCAATGTGCTATAAAAGGGGGAGTTGAGGAAGTAAGTACATGTTTAATAAAAAGTTGATGACTTTTCACTTCTCAAGAGAGTTGAAAATGAAGTGTAACTTGTCTAAAATATTTGTCAATATTTACTCTCCTCTATGGAGGACATAGCAGTATCACTGAATATGAGAATTGAAGGGCACAAATCTACGGGAGACATACTAGCATCTACTTCAAAAAGTTACAATTGTTTTGTGAATATGTAAATCTGCCGAGAGGGTATATATAAATACATAGCCTTCTGTAATACATAATATCTCCATTTGACTATTCTTTAACATAATTTCACTTACTTTTGATTCCACATTTTCTTGTTCAGGGATGAAAAGTGAAGCACTAAGTGTTCATTTATTGATTCCATTAGTGTCAGAAGAATGTCATAAACAATTAATTGATGCCACATTTTCATCACTTTCAGATTCTGAAAATAAAAAAGCAGCTCATATCAAGATAGTTATATTTTGCTCATCTATCTCATGGAATCTAAGGAAAGCTTTTGGAAGTTCATTGTGTCTAAAGTAAAGCATCTGATATCATTGTAAACGCTGATCTACATTTAGTTAAAACTTAAACAGGAGATAAATTTATTTTTTCAATGATTATGCGATATCAATTTTACTGCAGTGAGTGAAAGTTATTTTTAAGAAACATATAAAAGACAATATACTAAGAAAGAATTATTTTTGTTACGTAATTAATAATTGAAACTAAACAAGTTGTAATATATTACCAACTAAAATAAAACGTGAAAAAGTTCATACATACGTATAGTTTAGTGTATATATATATATATATATATATATATATGGTTTATAAATGAATATATAGAGGAAATACTTTCTATGTATATTAACTATGTGGTAGTCACATGGTTTATACATAGTTATAGTAATTAAGCTACACATTTTTATGGCAAAGCTGAAGTTGAATACAAAAATATTTTAGTATGGAAGTATGTACTTCCTTTCTTTTCTGTCAGTAATCTGATTTTATAAATGTTTGGGTCTTTGAAGAATGACATTGAAAAAGTTGAAAAGAGAAAATGCCTACATTCTTGAGACTAGGAGATCAGAGATCTCATAGATGAAACATTTCAAAAAACTTCTTGCAGACAGTATGGGAACATTTAGACAGATAAACCAAAACCAAAAAAGCTATTTTCTGGAGAACAAAGAGGAAAATGCTGGAGCAGAGATAGAATGACCTGCAGATAAATTGCTAGGCATATGTACAAGGAGTAGGAGCAGCTGGTAATGAAGAAAGAATGCTTACTTGAAGGACTATCTGTGGAAAAGCTACCTCAGTTATCATCCTTGAAAATGTGCACAATACTTGGCAGCCCAGCATATATCCAAGCATAATAAAACTGAGAACTCTTCTCCAAAGAAATTAAGTAATATTTTTGAGGTGGAAACTTGATTTTCTAATGTGGTGATGACATTCCATACTGGGTCCTCTTTTGTACTGTTACACATGATATGGAAGAAACAGCCATCCAATAGTGACATCTAAAAATAAAATGAGGAATCCACATATATTGTAAAGAAAGGTAAAAGAAATCTATAACAACTTTTAATATTAATAATTAAACTATATTTTCATTTATGTGCCAAAATATTTGAGGAAAAACCAAGCATAAAAGAGAATGTGTACTAGAAAGAGAACAGAAAACAAAGATAGGAAGGAAATAACAAAATTAGAAGAAAATGTCTCAGAGCTAAAGGCAGGCTAGAGCTTTCAAATTAAAAGAAAAACTATTAAGTTACATTCATAAAATGGATACTCAGCAGTAAAAAGGAACAGGCTATTGAAATAAACAACATACATGAATCTCAGATGCATTATGCTAGGTGAAAGAATCCAGTCTAAAAAACAACATATTGTATGATTCCATTTACATATAATTCTGATAAAAGTAAATATGTAGGGAGAAGAAACAGATTAGTAGTCACCAGGGATTGGGAGTGAGAGGACATGAATAGAAAAGGGCACAAAGGAAAAGATAAAACAGACCTGGGTGATGTCAGGTACTCTTCTGAAGGCAGCCATTAGTTTGCCAGATAACATACCTTTATCAATATATTGGTAATAACCAAGAGTCTTTAGCACTGGAAACCCAGTACCAGCCATTAAGGGCCACCTAATGACCTGTCTTTGGCCAAAATAACCAACAGACTTGCCAAATACAATTACAGTGCTTTGATGCCATTTGTCAAGTGGGGTTTGGCATCAAGTGATGATGTTTCTCACATATAGACAATTAGGTAAATCTAAACCAAATATAGTTGACCCTGGAATAACATGGGGTTATGGGTGGTGACCCCTAACAGTCATAAGGAAAAGAAGATACATTTACAGTATTTATTTGAAAATAATATTGTGTAGTAATGGACCCACTCAGTTCAAACCCATGTTGTTCAAGGGTCAATTGTAAATTTAGTGAGTCTATGTATTACTCATTTATTGTAGTTTGTAAAAGTAAGACAAACCTCAAAAATTACCATCTGGTCTCCTGGGCTGCTCAAATTCTATGTTTGTGAAAGTCCAGCTATAACAGCTAAATGCCACAATAGGTCCCTGAATGTCATTTTAGTAAAGAGAAAGTATGACATAATAGGGTGGTTAGATTTCTGGTTGTCTGGAATATTGTGATGTTTGTCTTCTAAAAAGTATCATAATCGGTACAAATACTTAGGAAGCCAATTGATCTATTATAAGGAATTAGTACCAAATGAAATAGTGTGGCATCCAGAGGATACACAATTGTCACTTTAATTATTATGTTTTAGCCAAATCATGAGCAAATTTTAAGCAGACGTTGATTCATACCAAGGACTGACTAGTGACATAAAAAGCAGCATTAAAAATTGAGGGCCGGCTGAGTGGCTCAGTTGGTTAAGAGCTCGCTCAAGAGTGTGAGCTCTGAGCAACAGCATCGCCGGTTTGATTCCTGGCCCGAGCTGAGCCGCCGCTGAGCTGCCAACAGGTGGCAGGATAGCTCAGCTAAAAACAAACAAACACAAAAGAATTGAGATCCTATAAGTAACATAGTTTAAAGTAGCCTACCACCAGCCAAAGAAGAAAAAGAGAGCTATGAAACTAAAGAACAAAACAGTGAAGATTAAAGCATGACTATCTGTGGACATGTTCTGTGGACCTTAGGTGGAAGCTCCCAGCATTTCACACAGTCATCTACTTGATCCAAAGTTCTTGGGTGAAGTAAGCTCCTTTCAAAGGTTGTCTGCTTAAGGCAGGGGTGGGGCTTAAGAACCCTCAGCTGTGGTCTCTGTTTAATAAGCACAGTATTTTGAGACATTTATTTGAGAATGTTTTATGTCACTTTAGTTGAGATACATGAATCTAAGGATGAAAACTTACGACATTCACCATGTGCTGGTTGTTTAACAGTACCTGATAAGGTCCTTATACATCAAGGTTCAAAATCAGATTTTTCTGATGTTGCTCCCAGAAAATTCGGTCTCCAGGTTTTAGGTTATGCAAGAATTATTTAAGAGGATGTTGAGGAAAGGTTACACATGCTACTAACGAGTAGACTATGTACTGTGTGAGTCCTTTGGGATATTGAACAAGGTCAGCTTTTAATAAGGCATGGTCTAGGATTAGGGGAGCTATTCCTAGGCACACGGGACACACATTTATAAGTTCATAGGAAAAGCTTCCAAGAACATCTGAGAGAGCTGACCTTAATGCCATTAAAGACAATGCATAAGCCAACTGTGGAATGTCCCTATATAGTATACTACTTGGCTACAGAAAGAAATAAACTATGGATACACATTATAATATAGATTAATCTCAATATAATTATTCTGAATGATAAAAATCCAGATTAAATAGAGTACATAATGTATAATTCAGTTTTTATAAAATTCTAGAAAATTCAAACTGATCTATAGTGGCAGATACCAGACCAGTGGTTTGCTGAGACAAGGGTGGGCTATGTAGAGACAGAAAGGAAAGATTACCATAGGGAATAAGAAAACTTTTGGAGGTGTTTAAAATATTCTTTATACTGACAGTGTAATGGTTTCACAGTGTATGCATACGTGCAAACATTTCAAATTGCATGCTTTAAATATTAATATATGCCACTTATTGTATATTATTATACCTCAGTAAAGCGTTTGTTTTAAAAGCCTTGAAAAAGATATCCATCATCATAATATCATTTAGTTCAATATTATTTTCTCGATTGTAATTGTAAACAGTTTTTAGAAAGAATGCTAGTATATTTAGAAACTTTGAATCTGTAAAAGTTTAAATTTAGTCTTATCTAACCAAGAATGTTATTTCATATAATAAAGCTATAGATAAGATGTAATCTTTAAAATAAAATTATTAACTCATTTCAATTAGTCCAAAATTTTACCTATTTATCAAAAAATTAAATAAATTTCAAAAATACAATTTACAAATCTGATATTCATGAACCAAATTTGAAAGAACCTTTAAATCATCTTGAAAGCTCCTCTTTTATCTTGAAACAAAGCCTTTTCCTTTTATCTTGTAACTATAGTAACAAAAGCTATTATTTCAATTTACTTGTTCACATTTCTTAAAGCAAAAAAATTGTAGCTAATTAACGTTTTCTTACACATTTTTAACTGTTTATCTGAGCTAGATATTCCTAGAGTGTTCACAAAATGACAAAGTGATTGTTTTTTCTGACCAATTTTCCTTTCAAATTTCCAGAGTGAGGGGAAAAAAGATAGAGACAAAAGAAAAAAAGTTCAAAGTCTACTATTAAAAGTTATAGAGTTTCTATGAACTGATATAAAGAAAATGATATAAATGGTGAAAGGAGATTAGATAATACATTTTACTTAATATAATTCACCATTTTAGGTATCTGGAAAAAGAAATATTAAAAGTTTGATTAATTGACAAACGCAGACATATTATGAAGCTAACAACCAGAAAACTGACAGAAGAAATGCTCATAAAAACTTATAAGTATTTGTCTTTAGAGTCTAAAACTGTTGGTGGGTCTTTGTGGCAAGAGACTGTTGCCTTTCTGAACTTCACAGTTTGTTGTTATTGCTGTGCTCATTGCTGCTCTCTAATTTTTGAAGCTAATGTATATAAAATTGTGATGATTTTTTTTAATGAAGGAGAATTATATAAAATATTTACTATTTCACTAAGGCACCTAAATGGAGATATGTTTAAATGGAAATACATTATTATTTTTTTATTTAAACCATTAATTTTATGAAAATGTCAATTCTCCTTACACACACACACACACACACACACACAAAGGGTAGGTAGAGGCCCCCCGAATAACAGATTTTTTTTGTTTGTAAATGTGAATGTGCAACTTATAACAACTTAGCTTTATGAAGAAAAATAGGTATATAAAAATTGCCAGAAGAAATCATGAAGGAAAGTTTTACTGAATAATTATCCAAAATCAACATTAAACACGCACTAATTGAAATGACTTATTGTAGTCATAGGGATAGAGGAAAGGATCAGCCCGTTATCATAGAAAAGCAGAGATAATAAAAAATGTAGTGAATATGTATATATTCAACTTGCATTATAAATTATTGCAGAAAAAGAGTACTGCTTACTAAATGTTGTAATAACTTTCTAACTTTTATTAAATAAATGAGATTGGATTACTCGCTTTCCTATTATAACAAAAAAGTTCATCATACAATACTATGTTTTACACCTGAAACTAACAAAATATTGTAAATCAATTATACTTTAATTAAAAAAGAATTCAAGTGGATCTCTAAAGTGGATCTCAATATTCTAAATTTAAAGGAATAAAAACATAAAAGTACTAAAATAATATAATAGATTTACACACACAGACACATTCTCTCTCTCTCTCTCTCTCTCTCTCTCTCTCTCTCTCTCACCCACACACACACACACACACACACACACACACACACACACTTGATTTTAGAGTGGGGAGACTTTCATAAACCTGAAATAAAATTCAAGAATAATCACTTTGTTTCTGGACATTTTTTTACAACTGTTATATAATAAAATACACTCTGAAGTAAAATAAAAGAAAGCCCAGAAAAAAATTGCAAAATGTATGACAGTAATGATTTCCATAGGTTATTTATATATCATAAAAATGAGCAAACTGATAAAAGAAAAAAATAACTAATAAAAAAGTACTCAAAGGATATGAAAGATATATAGAAAAATGTCTTAGAAATATTTTTTATTTATTTTACTACAGATATTTCAAAAGCAATTCACTTAGAATTTTGGCAAAGATAAATATTATAATATTAAGTTCAATCTTTTGATGTAGCCAATATTCAGCCATTTAAAGCTATAAATCTGCAATTTTATAGGGTTCAACTTAAACATCATTGGTTTTGGAATATCATGGTTACAGATACTCTCACACTTTTTAACTAAATTGAATAAATGGTTTGAAAAAATGGTCAATATCTATTAAAACTGAAATTAAGTTATGGGAATAGGTCTGCTCTTTTATATATTCA